TTTTCTTTTTTTGTTATTCTTATAGGAATATTGCATCGTTATTAATTTATTATAATAATAAAGTACAAACTATAAGGTTTAACATGATACATAGTATAAAGAATTTCTACAACGGTTTTCAATGGATGATGGTTTTATCGATTTATTGAAAAATAAAAGGATCGGATCAATACTATTATTTGCAACTGTATGCTTATTAAAAAAAAAAAAAAAAAACATTTATGAAATCTTCTGAAAGATAATTTATGTAATTTACTTAGTTGGTTACATTATTATAGGTTATAAAGAATACTTATAAAAATAATAAACGAAGACTGCTCTATTTGTAAAACTATGTTCCAATTTTCAGGATTATTTATTTTTATGGAAACATATAATTCCAAATTTATAAAAGCTCTCGCAATATATTAAAATCTATAACTTGTTCTGCACATTAAATATAAATAATTTTTAACTCATTTTCATTTCAATGACATTATTCATAAATATTAATTTAATATATTTTTTGTATTAAAAAAATATTACAACAATTATTATTTTCACAAAGTACCTATTATATTATATACTTTTATATAACCTTCATAAATAAATTATATTATATATTTTCAGTTATCAAATGATCAATTGTATTAATATTAAAGTAAAAATTAAATTAGTTTATTTATAGTGCATAATTTTGTAAATCGTTGTATATCTTGCAGTTAATATTTATTTATTGGTGAAATAATATAAGTTATACTCATTTCCCTATTGAATGACTTACAATTAAGATCATTTGCACAGAAATAAAGCACTATTAATAAAACCTCATATTACCTATAACACATAGTATTATACTATAAAGTATATAGAATACAGTTATATTTTGTATTAACTAATTACATATAGTTGTGTACTCTAAACTGCAGGTTAGGCCCATGATACCTTCTTACTAAGGTATGATTATATTTCTTAAATTTACATATATTTTATTTTGAAATAAATTCATAATAATAAGGCATAAACCAAAGAAAACTTGATTGGATGACGGATGTACAGTGTACACAATAGAATAATTTTAATTTGAATAAATATTTAAACGTTGTTTAAAAGTCAACAATTTTATTTATCAAAAAAAAGAAATCGATTTATAAATTCGAATAATATGATGAATGAAAACAATATTTTGAAATACTTAGATACCATTATTAGATGGTATTTATTTTGTAAAAATGGGTCATATAATTTCTTTGTCATACATTATCCCTAATTTAATGTCAATAAACTGAAATTAAAATGTATAGATAAATTTCAAATACGTATGACCTATATTACTTATTTTATTTTATATGAAATACAAGTACTAAAATCGATTATATAATTGTTTAATATAATTTCAAACCATTTTGCATATTTTAAATGTAAATGGTAATAATAAGATGACAAGGTCGTATTCATTAAAATATGAGTGTGATGATAAGGGCTGAAACCACTTTTGTTTTACAAATTCAATGTATAAGTAATATAATTTTTGCACAAGGGACGGTTATCAAATTATGTTAACTGTTTGGCGATCAACCCAAGGGCACTATAAATATTTTTTAGTTATGATTAGATTAGATAAAATGTGTTACAAAACTCCAGTACAGATGATAAATATTTTTTCCTCAATAACTGCATGCAACTTTGTTTTTAGTAAATATAATTATCATTGCCCAGATCACATGCAGCTAAATAAAATTAAAACCAGATTTTAAATTTTAAATTGTTCTTAACGGTATAGGGCTATGTTGAATAAAATATTATGGAAAGTAGAGAATAAAGAATTATTTTTATCAAATTTGCTTTCTTTGAATTTGCATATTATTTACTTTTAATACTAGAATTAAATTTATAGAAATAAAAATATAGACTTTCATAGGCCATAATATTGTAAACAAAATTATTTTGACTTTCTTATCTATGTAACCGGAGCACTTTGAATATAACATATCTCAAAAGAATATTTCACAATCAGTTATAACAATTTATTTTTTATATTATTAAAACAGAATTAAAAACAATCAATTATCATAATTAATATTCCAATCATCTGATTGATCGTTGCCCAAGCTTTCACTGCTCGAACTTGATAACTCAAATGCTATACGTCTTCTCAATATCATTGATAATTCGTTAGAAACTTCTTGCTTTCTTGGCGCAAGCCGAACTGTTTTTTTTAGACATACACCTATTATAACTTAAAATCGATTATCTTGAAAATTATAACACATTCAAATATGAATTGGCTAACCCTTGACTATTTCATTCATTAATTCTTTGTGTACAGTTTTTGATGATCGGTTAACAAACGCAGCTTTCACAATTTGGTCCAACGTCATATTTGTAGGTGGTTTATCTTGACTAACAGACATTAAGTCAATATATTATATATATTTACTTTTAAAAATATTCAAACGAACTGCATATACATATTTCATTTGAGTTTATAAAACTATGTTAAAAAAATAAACACAAGCTCAATTAAAAATAAGTACAATAATAGTCGTCAATACATACTAAAATATCTATGCGTATTGGTACACATATTTTTGGCCAGTTACATACGCGATGAGTTTATATTTTAACTTCACAGTATAATATTATTTATTTCAGACTAAAATATGAATTTAGATCAAAAATCAAGAAGCAAAACAAAAATATGTTTTAGGTATATAACAGTATTGAATACTGGAGTTATTGTTTTTTGTAAAATATTACACAAATTACGAATTTCCATTACATTTTTATATGTATGAAGTATATGTATAGACGGATAGTGCTTAGCCACGTGTAATGCTCGAGATTACACGTAATACACGCGTATCTACCAGCGTAAAATGCGAAATGTTGTATAATATGACAAATAGTAAACCTGGCTGTATTGTTTAAAATAACAAAATGGCTAAAAGATTAAAAATACTAAGTAGTGTCTTATTTAGAACACCGTTAATTAAAAACCATAATATAATACCTGCATATGTATTATACGTTATAATATTAGTAACTTTTCCCTTAAAATCTCCACATGCGAAATATTTAAAATCATTTTGTTTAAAAAGCTTTTCCTGCTTATACGTCTTTGTTAGTAATTCAACTCTTGTTGATATATTATTTCGGACGCTTTGAACCGCTTAAATACATGATTATAATAGATTTACAAACTATTCTTTTGACAAAATAATTATTGTACGTGGTGTTTGTTTAAACGAGTTAAACTTTTTGTTATGTTTATTTTTAAAAGCAGATAAAGACGTAGATTTAGCAAAACATGAAAATTTCAAATGAAACGAAAAATATATGGTCATACAAATAATACGACGTTCGCTCACTGATAGGCATATTAAAATATTTATTATAATATGAATAAATTGCACACTACGCAATTAAATACGTACAATTGTTGAATTGTGTACATGAATAGGTAACAATAAATACACGGAGACTAATTATTTATCAATGATAGCCTTTTTGAAATCTTTGGAGGACATTATTTTTAATCACATACAGAGGTACTTTTTCATAATTGATTTATTTTACAAAAGGTATTATTATACAATAGCTGATGAATTAGATTTTATACCTACCTATTTTTTTATCGTTAACTTTATTATTCAACTTCTTATTTATATAGTATTCATTAAACTAAAAATACATGATCAATATTAAAATCCCGACTTAAATAAATACTGATTTTTGGATCATAATGATTATGAATTGTAATAAAAGTTCAAAATATCCAAAAAAGTGGCGAGTTAGTTCATACTTCACTACAATTTTAAGTACTTCACTTAACTTTAACGTTTAAACTTTAAACGCTATTATTTAAAATGGTAAAATTAACGGTTACTGTTGAAAAAACGGAGTAATAACGAAACCACCAAAAAAAAATTGTAACTAAAAAACGATAAAACCTGTTAATTACAGAAAATTGTATGTATTTTATAACGGGTTGACAGAATAATATAATCGTTATCGGAGTCTGTCCAATGAATCGCTTGTTTGGCGCAATATAAAATCAAAGACTTAGTGCACACGTTTCCACATTTTTTCCAAAAAAACTTTACGAGTCCATTAAATAAATAATGTTATTAGATTATCTTTATTGTTTAATATAGGTTAGTTGTGTGTTGATTTCAGGGCAGCACTGCTAATTACCGAGGCGGGATCCTGGACGGTTCGAACAACGGAATAAAAAAAAAGCTAAATGTTTGATCGGGTACATTTTCAAAAACCGTCTTGAACATTGTAATTATCGTGGTAAAAAAACCCCTTATTGACTTTTAAAAACAAATAAATATCACTAGACCTTCCGCAATAATGATTTTTTCGCAGCGGCTTGTGGTGTAAAAAAAAAAAAAAACGTTATGTGTGCGCTAAGTCATCGATGGACGCGCGTCGTCCGCGGTCCGACCGGCGTGGCGCGACTGCGGCTGCTGGCGCCCGCTACAGTAGTCCTGTTGCAGTGACGGGCCGAAAGACGTTCATCGGTTCGAGGTCGGCCGCCCGCGTATCGCCGTTGTCGAGATAACAATGTCGATACGATGGCCTTATCGATATCACACTACGGCGGCGGCTTCGATGATGTTAATTGCACTATCATAATAATATTATACCCACTCGCGACGGCCACAATCAACATGGCTGGTACCAGCCTACCGACCTACCCTGCCGTACGCGTGTGCTCCGACATGGTATTGTGCACGTGACCTCACCGAGTCCGACTTGCCACCCCTCGTCCCCCTGTCGTACAGCTCACCGCTCCTCCCCACACTTCCCCCCCCCCCACGTCTGGCCGCCGTCCGACCGGGTGCGGTGCCCGTTTCACTGTTTCGGGACTCGCTTTTCGAGTTGACGACGATGGCATGTGCGCCGATCTCGTCGCGCGCTAACTTTGCGAAACCGCTCCGCCGGGCCGGTGGTCGCGGAGAAGGGTAGGTCGTGGGCGGGTGGGGGACAAGCGTCCGCTGCCAAGTATAAAAGTTGTACGTCCGATGTCCAAAGTCATCAGTCATCAGCAGCTCGTCCAAGTCTCCGACAAACGACAACCGCACCGCAAGCCGTTTAATTTATTTATTTTAAACACCTCCAACAACCAACATCGCCATCATGCAATTCACAGTGAGGGTTTTACTACAGCAGTAGCATTATTATTATTATTATTATTATTACTATTATTGCGACTCGTCATTTCGCAGTAGGGTACCTATTACCGTATTGGCTAACGTTTTTTTTGTTTTTGTCACCCCCAATTCAGGTGTTGATCGCCTTCGTGCTCGTAGCCGCCGCCGTCGCCTCCCCGATCGCCGACAAGCCCGCCGCCGACAAGTCCGAATCCGTCAAGGACAAACGTGCCATCTACGGTGAGTCACTGCATCACTCGCATAGCTGTCGCCGTCGTTGTTTTAATTATAGCGACGGTTACGGCGGCGATATAAAACAATATATTTCACGTCTCTGCCATCGATCCAATTATTTTTGTAATTCTTCGCAAAAGCGGAGGGCCACAATAATCGAAACGGTTTTCTAAATGCCATCTCTCGTCATCGTTTAATTAATCATATTATTGTCTGTTTTTCATCCTCAGCCGTCGCCCCGTCAGTGTACCACGCTCCAGCCGTCTACCACGCACCCGCCGTGTACCACTCGCCGTCCGTGTACCCAGCACCGGCCGTCTATCACGCGCCGTCCGTGTACCACGCACCAGCCGTGTACCACGCACCCGCCGTGTACCACGCACCGGCCGTCTACCATGCACCGGCCGCCGCCACTTCCTACTCCAGCGTCAGCATCTCGCACCCAGCCGTCGTGGCCAGCGCCCCAGTCTACGCCCCGGCCTACGCACCAGCTCATCCATTGTACTACCACCGTCGCTGAACGGACGACATGACGGTAAGCAAAATCTTAGGCTGTACGCCTCATCCGTGTACCGTGTTTTGATTCGTCGAACCGTACCTTCTATACCGTTTGCCCCGTATGGTAACATGACACGATTCTTAACCAACCGAACGTAACCGTAAAGTCGAAATATTTCAAATTTTTTGTGTGCTGTTAACTTATGACATTATGATAGACCAATTGAAACGGTGTAAAAATGCGACTGCACGACACGAGACACGAAGGACTTGTGCAGCAGGCTCACGTCGACTTGGTTTCCGGTAACGTGTTACCGCGACGATTGTGGTCAGCACGCCTGAAACGCCACAAGTTCACCACACCCACTAAACCGTTGATTCGTGTTTTAAATACCATTTGTGTTTCTTTTCCAGATTCTGAAAACATTTCACGTGCCAAAGACAAACCAATCGTCCGACTACACTGGTGCAGTTGATGTGTCCGTCGAAAATTTCACAATCTTTAATCATGCATTATAAATTATGTCATTATATGTAATTAATTTATTACGGTGTTGAATTCATCCACTCAATAATAAAAATCCATATATATGTATAATACGAGCATTTGACGTTTTTTATTCCAAATATTTTATTATATTCCTTTCGAGATAAAATATCCCAATAGAGATGTACACATGTACATTGCAATATTATACCACATATAATATTATATACATTAGTACATTACCTTTGTACCTCTAGTCGTTTATATTCCACCTGGGCGATACATTTGGAAGTCCGAATTTGTATTGGTCAATTCGTTCGGTTGAATGGTATGCGCCTCAATAGTAGATTTGCTTCAATGAGTCTTGAGTAGAATTTTTTCGGTCTTCCCTTAGTTGCTGTCACGATTGCTAGGTATTTGGATTGTTTTGACGAAAAGCCTCATTGTACGTCAAATTTATGCGACTTCAGTAGGTCCTCAAGCAATGATATTATGTAAGCTTTTTGATACAAACATATTCTAAATTGTTCATGCTTGATCTAATCTGGTAGGCATAATTTAGCGAGAATTAAAAATAATTTTCCATTTCTTAAACAGCTGTAAATTAAAAAAAAAAATACTAAATGTGTATATTAATAATATTATTACATGGATTTAGAGTACGATTCTAAGAGTGATGGCTGTATGAGCGAGTTTAATAATTTTGGGTAGTGTATTACTCATTATTATTTCATAACGCTTATCAGAATATTTTACTTATAATTATGAATTATACACGAGGTATAATTTATGATAGACAAAGTAGGTATAAATATGCAATGTTCGTAAAAGCCTAAATAACGGGAAACAGAGATCAGAGGGAAAACAACAGGTTGTTTTTACCTATTTTTCATAATAATGCTAATCAACAATATTGCGGCGTAAAATTAGAATATTAGAATATCACGCCACTAGACGTCATTGTTAGAACCCGCATAAATACGGGTAGATAGAGCACCTACCATTATTTAGAAGATTGTCAGCACTAGCTCGATACGCGCTTACGACAGTGTGCCTAATGCATAGATAAAAGATAGGTTAGGTTAGGCTTAATGATTTTTATGTTAGAATTATAATAAATAAATTGTTTTACTTTATTGTTAAAAAAACAAGTCTATGTGTTTAATGAATTTCAATACCTATCTTTCTCAACACACATCTCAAGACTGACGATTACGAGCTACGTCGTTAAATAATTAAAGTGGTATAGATCGCTGTGTCCTGCACAGCGCTCACAACACCAAACAATTAATAATTCGAGTTTATTATTAATTATTAGTTATGCATTATGTTTGTGGTGTTATATTTTTTTTCTCATTTTTTATTTCAATTGACAATGTATTGTATGGTACACAGGTATATGCATTAATTTACCAATAATTTTATTCAGACTTATTCACTCGAATGGTATTTTTGATCCAATAAGCACTCGCCCAAACGATATAATCCAACTATTCACCAAACATACGGTATTTATACTCCTGATTCTAATAACGACACATCTTGTGAAATTTGGACGAGTCGTTAGAGGGTAGAACTTCTAGCCCGTTCAACCAACAAATATGCACGGTATGACACAATAATAAAGCCAAAAGTGTCGTCACATAAATAATAAGGTCATAGAATAGAGTATTTAAGTTTTCATACTTTACGTAAAAATAAAACCTTAAACATAAACTCAAGTATCCCATCACGATCTAAATTTGATTAAAAAAAAAAAAACTCTGTTTTGTTTAAGTTTGTTAGTCTCCGTATGGAGCTGGAAATGCACGTGAATGTACCTATAGATTGTAACTGTTAAAGTATGAATTCCATTATTTTATAATTTAACGAACAATATAAGAGGATTGCGATCATGATACATGCAATCCTTGCTTTACCGCTGAATGAAATATGTTATCCACTCAAACCAATAAAAAAAAATATGTATTTATTAAGTTTTTTATTTATATAATTGCATTAATTTGATGAGCTGTAGCGTCTTATAACAAAGCAATTACAATTATTTATACACTTAAGGGGACACTATATATACAACCATTTGTTGTCTCCGTCCCACAAGTGCGTAACGTATACTAAATTTAAGAACAGCTGATCACGTTGAGCTCTGTCAGCTTAAAAACTGGAATGAATCGACCTATTATAAGACTTGATGGCGAGGAAATTATCAATGTTTGTGCGTAGATTTTTTTACGATAGTTCAATTTTTTGGCAAGTTATGCGTGTTTAATATAACGTAAATTAAAATCACTTAAAGATTGAACTGTCTTAAAAAACGCATATACAAAAAGACAGATAATGTTTGCTTCTTACCATCAAGTTTTATATTAGGTCGATTCACTCTAATTTTTAAACTAACCGAATTCGCTGAGGGTAAATTTGCTCTGTTACGCACGTCTTGTAGAACGGAGACAACAAAATGGTTGTGCAGCGTCCTCTTAAAATTAAATTCATACTTGATATAGAAAATGCATAGAATAAGTGTTTACCCCAGGATATTTGGATAAAAAAATATTTGACAATGCCAGTGTATGTTGCATGAAAACATGTAAGGAATATAGAAAAAATCTACAACAATTTCTACATAATCGGCAATCATTTGCTTACAATATCTTAAAAATTAAGTTAAATTATTAATTGCCTAAATTTTGAACATGGAATTAACAGTGGAATACCCTCTATTTATTATCATAATATTGACTTTGGTGACATTTTGATTGGCACAACACACCATCGGACCATTCTTATATTATAAATTATAATATAATAGTATCGGGGACGAGAATAAAAGCGAGATGTTCACGGATACTTTAACTATGAGTAATCGGGGAATAACATGGGGGGAGGGAAATAACTAACTACTTCAAATTTACACAATTGGTATAACTGTTATACGATCAAGGGTAGTTTATAAAATAATATCTATAATTGAATTATAAATTACATGGGTTATCGTCCTAATTTGGTTCGTGTAAAAACTATCTGGATATTTCACGAAACAAGATCATTTCTCACTTAAACACTACCATACATATACATATACATACGCTTGTTTCTTTAAAATATTTCTTACGAAAATAAACGGTTAATGTCATAACGGGTTGTGGTTAGCGTTGGTTTGTGCACGAGACTATGCCTACGCCTTACACGTCCATGTGACGATATTATATAAATATGTGTTTACTTCTCAATAATTGTGTGTGTGTGTGTGTGTGTGTGTGTGTGTGTGTGTGTGTGTGTGATTTCCTGCAAACGAAAGCTTATGAACGCTCACGCACGCGTTTCATTTATGTGCTGTCATATACTATTTTGTAATCATCGATATTGGCACTTCACGCAATAGACCAAGAGCGGAGTGAATGACTTCATAACGACGATAAGTGTTCATCGTTTTTTTTTTTGCCCGTAATATGTCACCCACAGTGTGCCACCCTTCCCCAGCCCCAGCCCTAAAAAATCCTACTTAATTATTATTGCAGTATGAATTAAACTTTCATAATATTAATTACTCGTATTTGTATTAAAGCATAATATTATGGCGAGTAGTTCAACAAATTAAATTATAGTTACTTTACCCATACGAAACTTAAAATTTGTCTCATGAAATAGTGGTGAGATTAAAATTCACATTTTCCATGAACATCAATATTTAATGTTAATGTTTAAAAATAAAATAGTTCCCGTGTATCATACTTATACACAGTACTATTATATGCCTACACAGCACATCGCTTATACCGACATAACGTGTATTTGTGTAATTACAATGAGCACTCTTCCATTTATGAGCTTGGGAACATATAGCTGCTATATACTTTCTGTCAGCAAATAACATTTCAAATAACAATGCAGTAGCATTATAATGAGTTTCAACCTATGTTTATTAATTTGTATAGGTATTAGGCACCTATTAAAAACGGAGTGTACGATATCTGTTACGACAACAATCTGTGATGTGATAATATATAATATATATTTGTATTTAATATGGTGTACGTCACTGGGTCAATCGATTTTCAATCATTTAACTTAAATCGAAAATTGTGACTAAATTGTTAGCAGTATTATGATATCAATAATCTATTAATCAGACGACGACGACGACGACGACGACGACGACGACGACGACGACGGCATTATTCACGTTGTGTAACAAGTGTTTAACCAAAGAACGATTTCGTAATTTATGATAATGCACATTATACTATGATAACGATGGTTAAAGCCGTCGCAGTAGTTGTAACAAACATTGTTGTGGAGGCCACTCAGGTGTTTGTCGTTCTCCTATAGTAGTATTATGTACACCTGCCTATTTCTCACTTGCTTAATGTGTGAGTCCACTATGCCTCTTTGGGGCATTGGTAGTTCTGCAAATAAAAATTATTTAAAACTTATTATTCTTTTATTATACTGTTTGATTTCTGAATGGTATTGGTTTCTTAATTCTTAATTTCTATAACTCTATTTGAAATATCTATTATATTCGAATAATATAAAATCCGTGTGACCATATTATGATATAGTTTTACGCACATTTGTCATATATGCAGTTTTTGATTACACGAAAACGAATTTTCAATTATATTTTTTATCAATATTTAAAGTTAAACATATTAAAATTTAAATGAAAGTAATTTTGGCTTTTAATAACACAAAACCTAGTTTTCTAAAATATATTAATAATTAGAAAACAATATATTGACCAACCTATTTACGAAAGTCACCTTACCTCACCTATTTCTACAACACGCACGGACATTTATCGAGTTCCATGAATTATGTAGTATTATTGATTTTAGATTATAACTACTAAACAATTTTAAGACTAATGTTAATATTTAACTATTCTTCATATGTTTTATATTTCAAACTAAAATAAGCAACGAGCCATATATTTGTACGCCTAAGGTTCGCGGGTAAAATTCTCTTATTTTTTACTCATCTTAATACTAAATCCAAAATAAATAAAAACACAATTTATTCTTCTATTGATTATGACTATTATGATTTAAGTTACAACTGTATATTTTAATACTAGGCATTACAAAAATGTATACTTTACTTTTTTGTTTAGTTATTATTTATTTTCATCAACATTTTTGAAGAAATAAAATATTTCAATTAATAAGAGCCACGCTGAAAGGGATCACGGGCCACATGTTTGGAACCACTATATTATATTATTATTGTACGTATTACCCTAGATTTTTGTGTCAGTCACAATTTTTTTGTAATCAATTTTCAATCATTAAGATGAGTAAATAAGAAAATTTGTCGACAGCTCAAACACATTATAAGTTACTTATATACTTTGTAAGCATCGGTCTTCGATGAGTTTTATCTAAACGCTTTTCTACAGTTTTCACGTATACAGGTATTCAAATTTCATGTTTTTTTGTTACAACATTATGTAGTACTTACTGTAGTATGTCTGTATTCACACATAATATTATATACAACAGCAGAATTTATGATAATTTAAATCGTTTTAAATAACAGAAGAGCCTACAATGCAAATTTATCACATTATTCAGCAATACAAAAATGTATACTTTAGTTCGCGCATTATAACAATATAGTCAGTCAATACTCTTGGCTCTAGGACCTAAGTCCTCAATACGCAGACGAGTATTGGTTGTATACCACGATAACATTATAGGTACATAATATCGGTCATTCATTGTTAACATTTATTTGGTCGTGCTTAACATAAACAGTGAGAAGAACGTACATTTCTAGGATTTCACAAACATTTTTTATAATATTTTGGCAACATTACAGTCAGACACAATAATACATTATATACGTTCAATGACTACTCCTTGAAATTGCTTCGATTATGCAGTGATATTTACTGAGTGTGCAGAGCTGCGTTTTAGCACTTTTCATTATATTATAAAATAAAGGTAGATGCCAAATACGCGTAATATTATATGAACAGACTATGTCATAATATTATGCATATACCATGGTACCTACTGGATAACTAATAAAATAATATATACATGCATGTGTATCGTTTTAATAAACTTATCGAGCACTTGCAATCGTTATATCTAATGAGAGTTTTATTTATAATCGTTTTATTTCATTTTCCAACATAATTTTTTGATCGATTAACGATACGATTTCAAGCCGTCCCCGTTCAGTCGATTGACGTCCTGCGGGTTGGTCGTTTAAGTTGCAGTATATTACGCGCAGTTACAAAGGCTCAAATGCCCGGAGACATATTGATGGACGATATTAATTATTGCGTGTGTGGTTTCATTCTAGGTGCCTACATTGTATACCTAGAACCTATACCTATAGAAACCAATATAATATATTATGAAGCGTATTGATTGTCTATTGATCTTCAAAGAGCGCCTGAGATGGATACGCAATTCAAAACATATAAGACGAAGCGTATCGTTAGCTGGTATAAAATAAAATTGACTGATTTAGGCCTCGTATACAATAATTATAATCAAAAGTGCACCATCATCGTTAGGTATCTGTTATTGTCCGTGCACTGATATATTTTATGAACTATTTCAATATCGAAAATATACTTTTTGAAACCGCTTTTGATTACGAATTTAATCGGTTCACATGTTGGTGTCATGCAATAGTCAGAATACTCATAACACCCGAATCCGTGCTGAGTTTCGAATACTCTGTGTGTGCTGAATTTGTCATCGTAGCGACTGTAGTATCGCGTTTGACCTGCAGTAAAGGTACCTAATATTGGTCAGCAAAGGAGCGACGCCTTATTCGCACCCGCCGTTCGTCCGACCCAAAATTGTTATCGTTTTATTATTATCATTATTGTCCCCGCCACCGCACAACCAGTTAATAATAACATTATCGTCGGCAACTCCGTATGCGTGTATAATAGTCGACCGCCGCCAAACACTCTACTATTATATTGCACACGGGAGTTTAACGTGAAAAAAAACAAACTCTATATAGGTACCGGCATATTAGATTGATATTTTTAGGACACATTAAAATATATTGTAACGTACTGCAACAATCTACTGCCCCGTAGTCGTATTATGTGTACCTACGCATAATAGTGTTGTGGATATTGTACGCTGGATTTCATTAATATACCCACAAAAATAATAATTATAATATCGTATCGGCCACGAATAATATTATCATTACGATGTATGTCATATTACAGTATACTGCAGGGATCGAGGTTGGCGCGGCGGACACGGCACGGACGATTGCGGCGGCGGGTTGTCGTATCATAATAATTTATTTACGATGCCACTGGATTCGGTAGGAAAAAGAACTGCGTACTAATGATGGGTTACGGTGGATAGTGTGCGTATATTATACCGTTGTATAACATTGTAGACGCCCCGACCGTATATCCAATACCGTATTCCACGCGATCGTCTAAAATACACCACACTCATACGAGCCATGCAGGAGCCTTGAAATTCTTCGACCGAATAGTCGGATCGAGTGTTGTGCGCTGACCGCGGCCAGTAGTAGTAAGTTGGTCGGTCGGTCGGTCGGTCAGTGCGGCAAAAATTTGAGCAGGTTGTCCGTCTGCTGACACACGGGTTCAGAGTTCAGAGAAAAGAAAAAGTTTCCATCGACCGCCAGACCATCGCAGATCACACTGTCTACTACCTACTATAACCCCTCGTATTCCGCTGCGAATACAGTTAACGCCGTCGCTGATTATTCCACATTGTTTGGTACGTGACACAATAAGCGAATTCAACTGCACACTTACGTAGGTACAGGCCATATTATTACTATTATAACTATCGTATTGGTCTTATTTTTGAAATCAGAGCTCTAATTATTAATAGTTCATAATTAGTATAGTTTCATCCGGTAAGACTTCGCGTGAAAATCAGAGCAGACGACCGATTCATCGTAATTTGTGCAGACCCCGTTGCGAAATTCACCCTAAATTCTGCGATCGGCGAAAAACATCTTATCTCAAACAATTTATTGTTAGACCACGAATGAGATTTACGTGGCTGGCCAAATTACGGTACAGGACCAATATTATATATCGTTTCGACCTAACCTTTTCCCGGACAACCATTTACAAGGAATACTCCCATATTAGCACAGTTCATCTCTATCGACTGTTGCTCATAATAATATTATGTTTATTGTGTAGATTTATTATACTATAATACACACATCTGAATATCTAACGTGACGGATTTCCATCATTAACGCTTCGTATTCGGAAGCTGTTGCGTCTTGTGTTCGGAGGCAACGACTCGTTTTTATTCAGTGGTGGCGACGGTGTTATTCTATTGATATGGGAGCACCGACGACGCTTACCGTTATTGGAATCATATTTTTGTTGTTTGGCGTTTTCGTCGGATGGTTTGCATTCCCGAAGATGATACACAAAAAAATATTGGAGGTAAGAGATTATCATAATAACTATAGGTACAGTAAATAAAAATTGATAATCATATTTTAGGTACTTTATTTGTTTTTCCAAATTAAATTTGTATTTTTAATTAAATATTTGAAAGCACAATTTATTCTTTCAAAAGCGTTGTACAAATATCAAATTTCAAACCAATAGTTTCTTGTTTACACTCGATAAGGTACTAATAAGGTTCTGTAGGTTCAGATTACCGTGGTATAATACCACAATAAAATTATAAATGACGCCAATGTTACATCATTCCTTTTATCTCATATTTAAATTGTTGTAAATAAGAAACTATTAGGTATATTAGTATGTATTATAAATTATAATTGTATTGTATATAATTGCGCCTCAAGAGAGTTATATTATATTTTATACGACTGAAATTAGTTTAGTCATTTGTATTGGTTCAAATTTTAATATGTTTTTTATATTCATGAACAAAAAATCGATAATTTATCTACCTAGCTATAGTTCCAATAAATTGTACTATCTGTCACAACCCGAATATGATAGTTACATTATGAAGAGAGAGCAAGAAATATGTTTACTTTTTTCATGTTAATTTTTTACCAGTTTAGAAGGCCTAGTTCTATCATTTGTTTCTCAGAATTTTTATTCATGCACTGGTACCTATATATTTTTTACATTGTTCAATTTAAGAGGGTGACCTCTTTGCCTTAGTTTCTAGACCATTATGTGTTCTCCATAGCAAGTAATATAAATTTAATACATATATTTTCTAGTTTGAATGTATTTCCTTACATAAGATTTTTTTATAAATATTTCTATACACGAAGTACACTCGTAAGTAGTAAAAAAGCAAATCACTTAAACATACTATAACTATTGTGAACTAACTTACAAGTCTCGTTTTACAAGAAACTTATTTAACATTGTAATGTAATAATTTATATATAAAAATATTATTTTAAAACAGAAAACTATAGTTGAACAAACATCCCTTCTGATATTTTTTCAAATCTATATTAGATCTCGCTGAATTTGTAAGCGTAAAATAAATATTATTACCTCAAACCTATAAATATAATATTGTAAATACATCAAACTGCTCGTGACAGCAGTGTGTTAACGTATGATAAAAATACTCGTTAACTAACGACAAAATATCATCGTCATCATCATTGAAATCACGTAGTTTTAAAATACATTTTGACATTTTAATTATGTATAGGAAAATTATTATGGCTATAATATAATATATGTTACAAAAATCATGATGTATAAAAAATCATTTGGGTTGACAATTTGAAATATTGTATATTAATATGTCACGACACACCAAACTATGATTGAAAAATGAATGAGTCATTAGTACCCAAATTACTTTAAAGAATTTATTAATTGATGATGAACTCAAGGCCCGGTCAAAAGAATTGTGAGGATCAACAATATCTGAGAAAAATTAGTTTTATCTTTCAGGCATGACAAATCATACTTAAAGATAAAAAAAATGTATAATTCATAATATTGTTTTTATTTTGCTGCAGCATAATGTTAATTGTTAAATGCTAAATATTTTTTTTTGTATAAATAGAGTTAATTATTATTATTATTATTATTATTATAAAGTATATGGGTACATTGGAAAAATTATTTTTGATGGATTCTGAGTAGAGCGAAATTGGTTTTACAATGCGGTGTATTATTATCATTATTTTTTGTGATTACTTACTACTTTGGTAGAATAAATGTTAACAATATGTATGTTTTTAATATATTTTTATACGGGTACAGAGTAATGACTGGAAATAAGAGTCTGAAGAATACCTATCCATGTTATAAATTTTTTCATTTTCTCATTGGAGTTTCTTAGATACAAACTATAGTATGAAAAACTACACAGAACCGCAGAAGAAATGAAAAATACATTTATCGCTCAGCTCAGGATCTAAAATGTAAACAGAAGCATATTTAAACAACAAGCTATCTACTCATAATAAATTTTAAACTCGATAGTTAACTGTGGTTTTCAAATTAAATATTAGAAAATACCTCTATCCTATGTCAGAGTGACCGAGGCAGGACAAGTGTCTTACATCCGGTCACTGCAGTATGCCTATATACAGTTCGTTTCTTAAATACTAATTTCCGGTTTACTGCAATTTTAAATTGTCTGTTTGTGAAATAACGTTATTAATGTCATGTCTTAAATAAAATTTGATTTCAAAACCGGTGAATCTAACCTCTAAAATTGTATATTGACGAAACGACGTTCTACATTTGAATAACAAATGCCAATAAGTATATACATAAGTTATAATTATTACACGCGTCTGTGCACATTATACCAGTAATTACTTTTAATTGCGTAATACGATCTCATGTCATTGTTGAAATAGAAACGCAAACAATAATCATATGTTATTGACTTACTGTTTATTTTAGGTAAATAACATAGGTACAACTAATTTTGCACAAAATAAGTATTTTATTATTACCTAATCTAACATTCATCAGCTCAAAAAATGTATTCATATAAGTTTTTTCTTTTTATAGCTTTTTAATAGAAGATTCTCAACACATTTTTCGATCTCAAACAAAAACTAACAAGTTTGCCGGTAACAACATCAATTTTTCACAAAGTTCAAATTTAAAATTTTATTTTATTTTCACCGAAAAAATCAGCGAATTTCCATAAATAAATTTTGACACTTTGTTGTAATTTCAACAACAAATAATTGTAGACACTTGACATTTTCACCCAAAATGTATACCTATTAAAAGTTGTTCTTTTAATAACCAAAAATAGACATTTTAACAGAAGATTCGCAGCAAGTATTTGTACCTCCATCAATAAAAAAAAGTTTACCCGAAAGTTACGCTATTTATCAATGTTCGATTTTTATTAATTTGTATTTAAATTATTAAGTTTGATTTTTATACAAGTTGTACATACAATTTTAACGCCACGCTAGTGTATATAAAATATATATTTATAATATTGTAAGTAAGAATAATTTTATATTTTAAAACTAATGTAAACTGGCTGTTACTTTATTTCGTATATCAAAATAGGGTAAAAGTATCTTAAATATTGTAAATTATTTTCTATATAAAGATCATACTGTATACTAACAACTCATTATCTCGCCACAAGCTCGGCTTGATGGGATAAATTAAAGAATAATACATTTGAATACATTGTGAAATTGTTTTAATGGATCAAAAGACAAATAATACAAGTATGCTAGAATGACACAACGTCTCCTCTCAGAATCGCTTTTCGTATGCAATATGATTTATTATTGAATTCACATTTATTACAACGTCACAACGATGTACTAGAAAAGTATTTACAGTAAATCAGAGTAATTGTACTTAAAATAAAAATATATTTCAAAATTTCAAACGTGTCAACAAAATATGACTTCGTGTTATTAAATCGTAATTATAAATTTATAACTATACGACAATATCATGTGTTAAATTTTAATTTATATGACATTGCTAGTTTCAGTAAATTGCAATGCAATAATGCAATCATCTAACCACATCAACCGCACTACACCTATGAATTAATGTGTTTCTTTAATTAACTTCATGATGTATTGTAAGTGTTTATTTCAGATTATTTTATTATTAAGCCTATGAAGCATATTTACACACAACAATACTTTAAATGGGTCCGCCGTCAAATTTAGGTTAGGCAACCTATTGTCCGTTAACCTCATCAGCAGTGACTCCAAATAGGCAACTAAACATTTACTTGCTTTAAATTTTGTATAATGTTATTACCATACGATAATATATATATAATATATATATATATGGATCCTAGGAAGCAATCTCCAATCTGTAAACTAAGAAATGAATATTTATCAAAATTATATTAATACAATTTCATTTTATTCAAAATTGAATCTCTTTTTCATCATCCAATCAACCATCCATACTGTCATAAAATTCATAAATTTAAACATATTTCAATACTGTAATATTTTCTAAAACAATATGACCATATCTGACAAAAATGATTCTATACAATGTATGTTGTTAGTTTTTATCGTGTAAATAATCATTGGATAAATGTATAAGTACCTAGGTATATGAAAATTAATATTGTAAGGAAATAGGTTACTGCTATGTCAATCATAATATGAATTGCGTCTAGACATTTTCGTCAACTTTATAATTATGCGTGAAGTTGTTATTCTTTGCATCATAGAGAAATGTCCATTATAATATATACGAGTAGTTACGATCGTTATAAAAGAAGTAAAATTGCACACAACGCGTTTTTTAAGTATAGGTACCGTAAATTGGGGCGACTTTAATCAATTGTATTGATTTTATTTTGTTCTTTTACTTGTAGTTTTTTTAGTACTCGTGCTACAGATCTCAAAATAATTTCGTTGCCTCAAGTACTATTTTACCAACATTCCTAAAATTTTTTTTCTAATGGACAGTTTTTTTACATTAAATTTTTAAATCAGGCATCAAAGTCGTGAGGCATTTGGGTTGATTTTGATACTCCCATTTTTTTTTATGTTAAACTATGATAATGATATGAAACCTATCAATCTCACCCCAATTTAAATATTTGGTCAACTAGTTTTTGAGTAATAATATAAAATGTATTATAGGGTGACAGTAGTAAAAATATTTCAATTGTATAAATTAAAACAACCAAACACTATTTAGGTGGATAATAATAAATTCTGTTGACAATCTCTGTCTACAGAGACAGCGTGTTGAATATCTATATAATATACAGTAGAACCTCGATTATCCGAACCTCCGTTATACGAACCCTCTATTATCCGAACTATAATTAGCGTATCCGAACGTTCTGTTATCCGAACATGAAAATTCGTATCCGGCCGGTCGGATCGGAAAACTATCGTTTTTGCCTTTTTGGATTATTATTAGTACAGGTTATGTATTTTACGTGCGTCAATCATTAGTAGATAACCAAAACGCAACAGGCTTATCTAAAAAATATAATACATACATATGTAAAT